TTCCTTATTTTTTAAAGACACTTAGAAGGCACAAATCTCAAAACACATGCAGATATCTATCCTGTGATATTCCCCAAGTAAACAGGCAATATCTCTAAGTTTCTCACTGCTATTTTTACATGGTATTAGGAAGATGTTATAGGAACACAAAGATAAGTTATGTCCAGAGACTGAACTAACAAAGAAATAAATGCCAGGATTTAGAATTGAAAAAGGACTCTGCATTATGCCCCATATATATATTCCCTTAAAATTTCCCAGTGACACTACAAGGAAATAGTCAAGTCTGAATACTTCAGTAGAGACATGCAAACATTTTAAAGTGAATATTAGTAGTCTCTACTTCTCAAGACACAAAAGCATGCCGACATTTGGTATGTGAGAATATATAGATTAGCTATACAAATTTTTACTATGTGGTCTTTTACTGGCTGCCTACCAACTTCTGTCTCTCAATGGCCAAAACTTATGCCATGGAAAACGTGTTCTCTAAATTTCAGAGTACTTTTGTTTAATCCCTTCAACACCTCTTGTGAAAAAAGAAGTTTCTACACACCAGTCTGGAAGTGTTGGGAGAAGCTACAGTTTCAGAATCAATTGGTTATAGATAGGGGAAAAACATGGCAGTAGTGGTTTTGATGAAGTTATAGCTAGTTAACTGTGAGATGACAGACTCTCAAGACATACAAAAGATGGCCTAATATAGAAGCCTATGGTACTAGGCAAGAATCAGAATGGAAAGTACATGTTATTGACTGAATCAGGACAGACAAAAAAATGACGACAAATAAAATAGAAAACAAAAATATGGGTGAAAAGGAATTTTCTGATCTGCCCTATGATGAAATAACTTCTATTAAACTATCCCCTTGCAGAGAACAATGATAAGCAATTGAACAAACAGCAATACTGGAGAGCAAGCCAAACAGCTGGTCACTGATGGAAAATCATATAGAAAAAGGAAAAGGAGAGTAGAAGATGAACTGGCACTTCTTAAAATTCCTCTATTCATAGCAGCATCGACTCCTATTCTGATCACATCGAGACTAAGCAGAATATGCTTACTCTAACTCTATCTACAGTTTTGATTTACTTTTCAGGGATTTTTGGAAATTGTATTTTAAGAAGCAGAGAAGCTTCTTGAGACACTAGATTAAGAAAAATAAGAAGAGTAGACAAGTACAGCATGCCCTTGTGTTTGTTCTTGAGGTTTTGTCTGATTTCTATGACTAGATTTCTGTGTATAGAGGCTCAAGAATAAATTAAAATGCTGAGAAGAGTGTCCGCAGTTTCCCATGGCTGGAGAGGCAAAAACTAGAGTTCAGGGTCCACCACAGACAAAAAAGCAAGGTAAATAAATACTGTAAGATTTCAATGAAGACCTCCAGATAAATAGGTAACAGAAAGAAGCCAGCATTCACAAAGTCTGAAATCTAACCAGGACACAACTCAATATGGGATCTGTTTATACTCAGCCAGGATGAAGAAAACTCAGTCTTCTTTGTAAGAAATCCACATAATTCACTGGGTTTCAGTGACTGATGCTTGTAATCCTAGCTACTCAGGGTTGTGATTTGAAGCCATTCTGTGCAGAAAATCCTCAAGAATCTATTTTACAAAATAAAAAGTAAAAAAAAAAAAATCAGAGGCTGGAGGTGTTGCTGGTGTATAGGATTTCAGCCAAGCAAATGAAAAGTACTTAGTTTAAACCCTAGTACCTGCAAGAAAGAAATCATTATTAGTGACTGTGCTTTATCAGAGCTGTTTTTAATGATGTTATTCAAGAATGTTTTCTTTCCAGAGGATGATTGAGAAGTTAATTTAAAAAATGGTGTCAGGTACCACAACAGTAATAAAACTTCGCATTTTTCTGGGGTTTTGTTTTTTTTATCTTTTTTTTCTTTTTATTAATGGATGTGCTGGATGTCTAATTTTGTTCAGATGACTGCAGAACCTGGAAAAGCTGTTGCTGCTATTGATGCATAACATACTGCTATTATTGGTTTTTTATATAAATATATATGTACATATATGTAATTTTAATTTTTGGAAACTTTAGCTGTGCTGTCAACTTTGGAAAAAGTATCCAAGTTTACCGTGTTGAGTTGGCATTGTACAGAAATTAATATCCATATTGGTCTAGAAATGTTAAACTTAATTTTTTTCCATTTGTACAGGGGTAAACGCACTGTATTAAATATGTAAAGTCTTATCTATGTGGGTTTGATTACAGAAACTAATAAAGTAGTCTCTAAATAATGAAAAAAAGAAATCATTATAATTCAGTGTTAAATCTCATTAGCACTGGCCACTGAGAAAACAAAAATCATTTCATGAGAGAAGTGACCCGATGTTGGGTTATCCAGTATCATTAGAGAAATTTCCCTTATATTTTCTGTAGTATGTTCAAAGTTTCAGGACTTCCGTTAAGATCTTTGATCTACTTTGCGTTGTTTTTGTAGAGTAAGAGATAAGGGTCAACTTTTAGTCTCCTGAAGGAGGATACTCACTAGTACCATTTGTTGAAGAAGCTGCCTTTTCTCCAGTGTATGGTTTGGCTTCTTTGTAAAAAGTCAGATAGCTCTAGCTATGTGGATTATGTCTCCTATTTACTTTCACTGCTTTTTGTATCCTTTTGTGGCTGTGCCACAGTGTTTTTGTTCTGCAGTATAATTGTAATAACTGTCATATATTCTCTCTGCTAAGGATTAATTTAACTATTTGGGGCTCTTTTATGAATCTGTATGAATTTTAGGATTAGTGTTTCTATTTCTGTGAAGAATGACATTGGAACTGTTAGGATTATTTTACTCATCTTATTGGATTTTTAAAAATTCAATCTCCAATGCCATAATGTAAACTAATTTCTATGAACATTATCTGTGATGGTGACATAAAAGCATAGAGGATCAAGAGTCTAAAAAGCAGAATTTACCAATACTCATGAGCAATACTCAGAATGGGTTTTCTATGCTGTAGGTTTCCAAGACCATTCTTTCCCTTGGCCAGACAAATAACTTTCTTACCACTTACTTTGTTTTACTAGACACAGTTCTTACTGTGAATAGTATTTGAGAGACCAGAAAATAAGTCTTATCTGTTTAATGTTCCCTCCCTTCCCCCCGGATGAGAGAAGACAGATGAGGCTCAGAATGTGTATCCGTGCATTGGTCCACAAGTCCCAAATGTACAAGAAAAGAAAAAGATGCCCAGCTTGGAATTAGGAACACGGAATGGAAGAGACAGGATATGAAACAGAACCCAACCTGTGCCTTCTGAGACAGGAGACAGGAAGAATCAGAGTGCCAGGGCAAGAAACAGAGTGTAAGGATCAGGGAAGAACGTGGGAAGCTGAGCATACATAAAAACTTAAATTGAGTGCAATCGTGGACAATTAGGTGAAGGCTCCCAGAAGGCTGAAGGCTAATTAGGCAGATTGGTATCAGGATACTTCCTAGATTCTGATCATTTATTATGTAGTCAACTGAGAAGATTCATTCAAATAACCAAGACACCAAGTATTTTCATTTACTTGGCAAGTATTCATCAATGTTAACTCTGTTACAGAATTGGCTTTTGAAATCTACACTGCACTTAAATGTATAAAATCTAAAATATAATTTGCCAAATCGACAGTCACTAAAGATTTAGAGAAATATTTTTAGTATTGAAAATAGTATCGATGGCTGGGTGCTGGCTCACTCCTATAATCCTAGCTACTCAGGAGGCTGAGATCTGAGGACCGTGGTTCAAAGCAGAACTGGGTAGGAAAGTCTGTGATACTCTACTCCAGTTAACCACTCCCAAACCAGAAATGGTGCTGTGGCTACAAATGGTAGAGCACCAGCTTTGAGCAGAAGAGCTCAGGGAAAGAATATAGGTCCCTAGTTCAAGCCTCATGACTGATTACAAAAGAAAGGAAGAAAATAATATTGAGTTAAATATTGTAATTTCAATATTCTGAAGCTCTTTCTACATTATATTTTATGAAGTAATCTTTTCAGTTGCTCCCACTAAAAATAAACTAATCTTAGAAGAAGTTGTTTTTATTTGTACTTATCATTTCCTAAATTAATCACATGATGGAAACCTTCTAGCTTATGCCCCACTTTTTCCAAATTTGAATTATTAAAACCAAACTTTGGTAATTACATGTATTAACCTAGCTCTGTTTGCACTTTGAATTCTTTTAATGCACACAATACATTATAATGCTGAAGGCATTATAATGGCAGTCAATATGAGAATCATTAATAAGCAGTTCTCACAAAACTGCGAAATCTATCTCTAACAATAGTTGGTAAGCATACATAGGAAAGCTTTCGAAGTCTAATCAACAGTTTCATTGTACAGGTACTATTTATTCTCCATTTCAAGAGCAGATCAAATGTCATCAGGAGATTAAAATTTAAAAATGCTTTGGTGGAAATGGTGATGTGACTCAAGCGGACAGCGCCAATACCCAGAGGTCAAGCCCCATGACTGATGAAAAAAAAATCTTTTGGTGTTTGGAATATACATAATGGGTCTGGAAAAGTTTCATGCTGGACTTACTTGCACGATGGGGATTCAGTCTTGGGGGCTTCAAGTATTTGGAGTCATTAAGTTACTTTCCCGAGGGAAAAAGAGTGCTTTAGGGATTAGGTTAGGTTTGTTAAATTGGAATAAGAATGTTAATAAAAGGTGGTATTCAACCAGGCATTAGAGAATAAACCACTGCTTTTGAAAACTAACACTTCTCTGACTTAAAGAAATAGGTAATGTAGACCCATCTTAAATAGAAAGACAACATTTTATACAATAATGGATGTGTCTTTTTTGTGAGGTTGGAAAGAAATAATTTAACAAGAAGAAGATATAAAACTTTCTATACATGGGAACAAGGAACAGGGATTTGCAAGGAAAAGGAAAAGGGAATTATGGTAGCAACTACTGACATATTCATATCTTTTCTTTGGATCGTATATTTGACACAGCAAATGACAGTATTCTGGGGAAACATGAGAAGTGATCTGAGCCTGCCTGCAGCTGTCCAGCTGTGCTACGAGAATGTGAATGGATCCTGCATCAAAACCTCCTATGCCCCAGGACCCCGCCTGCTTCTCTATGCACTGTTTGGCTTGGGGGCTGCCCTGGCTGTGTGTGGCAACCTACTGGTGATGACTTCCATCCTTCACTTCAAGCAGCTGCATTCTCCAGCCAATTTCCTCATCGCCTCTCTGGCCTGTGCTGACTTCTTGGTGGGATTGTCGGTGATGCCCTTCAGCATGGTCAGGTCTGTGGAGAGCTGCTGGTACTTTGGAGACAGTTTCTGTAGATTCCACTCTTGTTTTGAAGGGTCATTCTGCTATGCTTCTATCTTCCACTTGTGCTTTATCTCTGTTGATAGATACCTGGCTGTCGCTGACCCCCTCATCTACCCAGTCAGGTTCACTGTGTCTGTCTCTGGTGCTTGCATTGCCTTCTCCTGGCTCCTGTCCATCACATACAGCTTTTCCCTTCTTTACACAGGGGCAAATGAAGTTGGGCTGGAGGATCTGGTCAGTGCCCTCACGTGTGTGGGGGGCTGTCAAGTCGCAGTGAATCAAAATTGGGTCCTGATCAATTTTCTACTCTTTCTCATTCCTACTCTTGTGATGATTTCTGTTTACTCCAAGATTTTCCTCATTGCCAGACAACAGGCGAGGAGAATTGAGAGCATGAGCAACCAGACCACAGTGTCCTCAGACAGCTACAAAGACAGAGTAGCCAAGCGGGAGAGGAAAGCAGCCAAGACGCTGGGAATCGCAGTGGTGGCTTTTCTGATTTCATGGCTGCCGTACTTCATTGATTCCATCATTGATGCCTTCCTGGGTTTCATCACGCCTACATATGTGTATGAAATACTCGTTTGGGTTGCTTACTACAACTCAGCCATGAACCCTTTGATTTATGCTTTCTTTTATCCTTGGTTTCGAAAAGCCATCAGACTGATTGTCAGTGGCAGGATCTTGCAAGGAGATTCTGCATCCATAAACTTGTTTCCTGAGTAGGCTTTTGTTTTAAGTGAGAGAGTTCAAATACACATGTTCAAATACACATGTATTCAGGAAAAGAATTAACAAATACATGTGGAAGATCCTCTAATGTAACATTATTGAGCCACATTTCAACTTAGTTCTCAATATTTAAAGTTAGATACAATTTACTTTGGTAGCTATAAATTAAATTCTAATCATAATTGAAGCAAGAGGACTTGGAGCCAAACGTTGCTATTTATCTCCATGGCATTGGGCTACTTCATTTTCTCTGTGCTGCCTTATATCTCTAGCTGTTATCCCTTTCCTTGTGCATCCTTGAAACAATTTAAAATAATTTAAGTAAAGGATATTCTGTGGAAAATGTTAAAATTCTGAATCATAGTTTTTATAACTTTGTATTTGTTCAACACATATATATATGTATATATATATATGTATGCACATACCTATATATGTGTTGAAAACATATATGTTTATTGTCTCTGTTCCTTTGTAATTTTCTTCTAATCTAACAGAAGCTTTAAAAGGTATTGATTCTTTGTCCAGAGTATGTGAGTCTGTACTATGTGATATCTAGGTTTGTGTATTGAAAATGCTATTTCAGAATCCAGAGAAACAGATATATCTGTTAGCTAACATCAGTTCAATTGCTTATAAAGGAATATAGTGTTTGTGTCGCAAATAACATTTATTCATTTAATAAAAGTACTTTCTGATGAGTAAGCAAATTCATAGGAAAAATCACACTGAAGTGCATGAACTTTTTAAGGTACTTCTGTTATTTCAGGCATTTTGTAATTGTCACTCATCATTTTACATTATTCCTAAGCTTATTATTCACTTAGTTTGTGAATTATTCTAAAAATTTATACAAGTTTTCAAACATACACATGAAATATTAATTTAAATATGCTTGAATATGGACAAACATTGAGATAAATAGGTAAATATAAGCTACCACCAAAATAGGAAACATTTTTCACTAGCATCCCAATATTAATTTCTATAGAAAACAGAAATAGGTGGTTTTTGGTAGACAATATGTTGGAAATGAACTACACAACTTGTGCATAAGGACAGCTGGGAAAACCTGCAAGAGAGTAAAGGAAGAGGTGACATTCTCCAAAAAGAAATACATTCATTACCTTACATGAAATGGTAATCCTTCTGTACATCATCATTTTTGGGGAAGGGGGGTCCGGTTGTGGGGCCTGAACTCTGGGCCTGGGCGCTGTCCCTCAGCATTTCGGCTCAAGGCTAGCTTTCTACCACTTGAGCCACAGTGCCACTTCTGGCTTTTTTCTTTTTGCTTATGTGGTGCTGAGGAATCGTACCCAGGGCTTCATGCATGCAAGGCAAGCGCTCTACCACTGAGCCACCTTCCCAGCCCCTGTACATCATCTTTATAATAACAATAAAAAGTATTTAATCATATAAAAAGAATACAAGAAACGGAAATAGTTGTGCATTTCACCACAGATAAGTCCAGTCACATATTTCAGACATGAATTTCTCTGAGTGGTAAAATAGAGGACAGTATGTTTCTTGAACAAAGTGACTAAACTGGGTTATAGGGTAATTTATCTGACTCAATCAGGTATCAAATTTAAAAAAACAGAACATTATATCTTTGGGAAAGGAGCAGACATATATCAAAATGTCTTTGCTATTTTTATCTAATTTCTGTTTGACATACATCAATATTATTCATGATTCAAATGTTTTCCTCTTTTATGACTAAATGTGCTAAAATAAGAAATATTTTATAGGTATCATATTGTCTCTGATTTTAAAGTAATTACTATAAACTCTACATGTTTGTGTAGTCTGCAAAAGATTAAAGGTACTCTTGACGTTTTAGTGGCCTCTATTTGTAATTCTTCAGTTCTGTCATTAAAGACCATTGATTTCTTTCATCTCTATTGTTTTCAGCAAGAACAAGTTTTCCTAATCCTGTGCTATGAGGTGTGTAATAATCATACGTCTTCATTTTAATGACAATGTAGCTAAAAATCAAATCAAGATATCTAGTTAACATTGTAAAGCTTCTGGATTCAAACAAATAATTCATGTATTATCCTTACCATCCAACCATTAGACTGTGATGTAAGACTCACAAAATATAAGACTACCAATCTATTATGTGATGGCTGCAAGAAGAAACTAATTTTATATAAAATTATTTTGTTCACTGGGCTCTGGTGGCTCATGCCTATAATCAATCCTAGGCTGAGATCTGAGGATTGTAGTTCAAAGCTAACCCGAGCAGGAAAATCCATGAGACTATTATTTCCCATTCATTTTCAAAAACTACCGCAGTAGAGTCATAATAGCTGAAGTGGTAGAACACTAGCCTACCTGGACAGTGCCCAAGCCCTGAGTGCACAAGCTCAAGACCAGCATACACACACACACACACACACACACACACACACACACACACACACACACACACACACACACCACAATTACTTTGCTCAGTTTTAGCTCCTCTTCTCCTTGGAGAATAGAAACAGAAAAGAGGACAGAGTAAACAGACGGTTTTCTTTCCTAAATTAAGCTTTTTGAGGTTAAACTGGATACCATAAGAGTCAAGGAGGACTGGGGCACTCAGATATTGGCCAAAGATTTTAACTGGAGATGAACAAAATTTAAGTGGTCAACTTTCAGAGTGACTTGACAGTGTGAGCTCTGCTTGAGATATAACCAGCATACAAGAAGGGAAGATTTGCTACAGAATATTTATTATCTGTGATTGGTGCAAACATAATATCACATTATTCCTCATTCAGCTCTAAGTATTTTATAGTCCATTAGCACTATTTCTATAAATCACTTGGCCAATGCAAATGGATTATGAAATGAATCAAGTTGAGAACTGGTTCTTTTTCATGAACATAAAGTGTTTCACAGATGATTACTCATACAACTGGCTTGCCTGTAATCAGCACCCATCAATCTTCACTTACTGTTTTAACACTTAGACCCTGCCTTGGGTTTGTTAACACCAACTGTTGATTATTCATAGAGTACACAATGTTTCTCCCTTTCCTTTCATTAAGTCTTCTGAGTTTGACACTGCCCTGATCACAGGACATCATTATCACATCCATCCTCATAATGAGGAATATTTCACACTCAGTCACTGGGGAGATGGCCTACTACTTAGTGAACTTTTTAAGTGCGTCTTTGAGGAAGTAACAACCTGTAAGCTAAGGGACAAGTGCAGACTCGACACTGAAAACTTTAGCTGATGCAAGAGCTAGAAGTTTTCCTGGGTATTGTGCCTTGGTGTTAAAATCACAAATTATTTACTGAAGATGATCTTGTGAACAACATTGGAAAAGCACTATGTGTGTCAGGCGATTTCTGCTTTGAACCACATCCGACTTGTTAGAATTTAAAAGTATTTGTCTGTAACGTAAGCAAGCCTCCAGCAGCAGAAACATGAGCAGCAATGCCTCCCAGCCAGGGTTGGAATTTGCTATGACAATGTGAATAGATCCTGTGTCAAGTCTCCCTACTTGCCTGGACCCAGGATGATCCTTTACTCAGTGTTTAGCTTACAGGCTCCTGCTTTGGATTGAACCATGATCTTGATCAAATCGGTATGATCCTCACAAACTCCTTAGGCTTCATCACTGGATTACTAGGCAACAATGGTAGAGAGTTGCTTTCAAACAGCGTAGTCAACCTGAAGTACATGGAAGCTCCAGTTATGCCAACATACATTTAATATCTTTATCTTAAATGGCAGGTTGATGTTCTATTTTTACACTGATATGGGAAAAAATATCTTAACCATCTCCTAATCCACAGCTACTTTATACAATCAAAGGTAGCTGTTGTCTAAGACTAGAAATCCTTTCTTAGAATTTCAGACCTTTCTTTATAGGTCTTCATGCCTTAATCTCCCTCTCCAGCTTCCAAAGTTTATTATGATACCACTAGCATATCACTCTGGCCCAGGAAAGACTGTGCTTGTCAAAACGACTTAGCTCTCAGATTCCCCCACCTTCTCTACTCTACTGGTCATTTTGTAATTAAAACCACGTAGGTTGTTCTTGGAGAGAATTAAATATCTCATGTGATAGAGGTAGGATAACAGGCCAGGTTCTTGCAATCAATGCAGTTACATTGGGCCCTGAAATTACAGTTTGGGTACCTGAATTTCTAAATTTGAATTTCTTAATATTTTATCTTCAAAGTTGAGTTTTCAAAAATAAGTCGAGAAGGTCCATAGATTATGTACGAAATGCTTGAGACTTTGAATCAATTGACGTTTTGAATTTCATCTTGTCTTCTCCTGCCCAAAGATTTAGTCATCTGCTTCTTCAAACCCTGGCATCTTGGACTTCATTCAGATTTTCCCTCCCACCTGCCTTCTGACCACCTGCCTTGCTATCTTTTCCTGCCCTTAGTCTTGGAGCCAGGTATAGGTTGTTGACATCATACCCCAATAGTCAATTCACAGCATACCTATAAGCTACATGGAGTGGAAAATGTCTTTACTTGCCAGAACAGATATGGGGTGGACATTATAATCCCATGGACATTGTAATACCCCAAGGTGTGTATGGCTGAAGCAGGCCAATAGCAAGAGTTACTGTGTGAGTCAAATCCATCCTCTCTATTTGTTCCAAGCCTCATTGATTCAGCAGGTGGGGAGGAGAACCTACAGTGGGTGGTTCAAGAAGGCTGAGCTGCAAGACAGAGGATAGAGGGCTGGAAGAGTCTTTCCTTAACCAGTGAAAAATCTATTAAGAAGTGAAATGTTACCTGGGTGACACATTCTCATGCTTTAATACTAGCTAATCAAGAGGCTATGACTGATGACAACTGTTCAAAGCCATGACAGAATGTTATGTCCAATTAACTAGTAAAAACTCAGAGGCGGGGGCTGGGAAGATGGCTCAGTGGTAGAGCGCTTGCCTTGCATGCGTGAGGCCCTGGGTTTGATTCCTCAGCACCACATAAGCAAAAAGAAAAAAGCTGGAAGCGGCGCTGTGGCT